GCTATAATATCTGTTTGTCACATATTAAGGCTTGGATGTCCAAAGAAATGTTTGCTATTTTTTTAACCAAATGAGAGACTAAGGCAATTTCCTTTGGCCGATTAGCTGTCTCTGACAGCCTAAATCCAATGATAGGCACATTGGGGAGTTTAGCTGCCTAAAGCCATCTGTTTAAAATGTAGGTCTTGTCTTTGACTCTAACCTGTTGTTTGATAAGTAGGTTGATGCAGTAAATCTTTATTTATTTATTTATTTTTTATTTATTTTTATTCAGTTTAGATGTCCAAAGTGAAAGTCAAAAAAGTAATACATGCAATTCTATATTCTGGTCTAGGCTACGGTAATTCAGTATTGGTCAGTCCTATAGACCATTTCAATGTGGTCATGTCATTGGCCAGTGAACATTTCCTGCTTGTTGCCAAACTACTTCACTGTAACAACTGTAACTGTAACAAGAGCCAATTCAATCATAACCTTAAAACAGCTATCATAACATTATTTATCAATATGTGAAACTATGAAAATGAAAAATGAAAAACAGGTAATACATTAGGGCCATTGTTATTGTTTACATCCCTCAAAATGGTCTGCATGAATCATTTACAAGTACTCCAAACTGCAACCTCTAAACTTCCTACTGGGACACATACTGTAAATTTGAGCCTTATGTTTCTGTACTGGTATGTAGAAAAGAGTTTCAAATGTATTCTTTTTATGAAAGGTTTTAAATTGCCTAGCACCTACTTATTTAACTTGTGACTATAAATATCTGCTAGGTCTTCAATCTCCCAGATTCCAAAAAAAATTATGCAAAAAAAAAAAAAAAAAAAAAAAAAAAAGACTGGGCTTTTGCCATTGTTAGCCCCAAATTGCGGAATATTCTAAATCTCCACATTATCTTTGGTCAAGAGGAACTGATAGAAAAGCCCTATAAAACAGAATCATGACCACAGAGCTTGCTTTTATGCCTTTCTTTATGTGCCATAAAATAATCTTGAAGGATCATAGGTTTGTTTTAAGAACGCCACAAATCGAAAGTATTTCAGAGGCTTCATTATGTTCCTGCTGCTGCACATCGTCCGTGATACTGTAAGTAAATATGAATTCTTAAGTTATATGAGGATCTGTCTGTATTACTGTGATTAAATATAAATTCTTAAGTTGTTTGAGGGTATGTATTACTGTAAGTAAATATGCATTAAGTTATTTGAGGGGATGATTAGGAGCTTGTTAAATAACCGTTAAATGTTAAACTGAAACGAGCGTTTTTTTTTTTTTTTTTTTTTTTTTTTGATGTTTCAAATGTGTTTTGTTTTTTCAAATAAAATATAACAACATTTTATATAATAAAACAAATAAATACATAAAGGCAGGCTACTATTTTGTTCTACCATGATTTTAAAACTCATTGAATCTCATCATTTAATGTAGTTCTCAGTGTTGCTGATTCTGCTGCTTTTTTAAGATATCAAGCATAGACCCATGTGGAAAAGAAGAAATAAATAATTAAATCACCCATAACCCGAATGGGTGTGATGACCTTGCAATAAAACCAGCATCACAAGTCACTTTAAACATTAACCAGTCATATAAGAGAATGGTTACATATTTTGCTACTATATCCTTAGACCAGATTCAGTGAGCCGAGCCTATATGTATCAAATATCCAAATTACATTTGAAAGTAACAAACTATGGGATTTTTTTAAACATTATTCTAGGCTATGCATTATGAAACATTAGTATAAGTAACACATAAAGTCCACCAGGAGAATAATCAGTGCGGAATTACTTCATTGCATACGAATTTTTGTTAATCATGTTACGCATCATTAGCTATATATCAAAGTTCTGCAATTTACCTGGTTTTCTAGGACTTTGTGTTAGTTTACCCTAGTTTAGTTTACCGCTGAGACTTTTTGAGAAACAAATTGAAATATTTAGGTGAAATCTAAGAGCTCCCCATTCTCCAAAAACAACATGGGTCCCAACTAAAATACCTAAAAAGATCCTCAAAACAGACCATAAGCCTTTCGTGGTTTAATAGTAATATTATCAAGCTATACAGTGCTTGAAAACATGCGCAATATACCGACACTGAGGAGAACAAACTGTTGAATAGTCTTTTTTTTAGTGTGTGGATATTTTTCTAAACAGCACCCCCCTTTCCAGTTTTGTGAGAAATGAGCTAAATCAATTAAGACATGTCTAGTAGATTACAATACGTTTAACGTGCTATGTTTATGGTTGTCATTTTTAGCCATTTATTGCTGTTTTTATTTCTCTCTTCTCCCTCTGGACTTTATTGATCTTCATCTCAGAGACGCACATTCAGGTCATGACAATCCTCTGATTGTCTTCAGACACACAAAGATTGAGCTGTTGATCTGCAGTATGTCAGATGTCCAAGAAAAGCGCTCCAAGTACAGGTCAGACTACAGCTGTTAACAATCAATTTCCACTACTTAAAGTACTTTTAAAAAAAGTTATTTTTAACAAAGTGATTTCTTGTTTTCTGTTATCACGCTGCCATATTTAAAATAAAGATGTTTTAGAGTTTTTATATATATATATATATATATATATATATATATATATATATATATATATATATATATATATATATATATATATATATAAATGTTGGTAGATGTTTTTGATTAAAAAATAGAATGAAACTGGGCTAATGTTTTAGTTTCAGGAGCGTTTGTCATAGCTAAATATGTTTAATGGACTATATATGTACTATACAAAAAATACTTCTACATAACTCCACAGTTAAAGAGCAAATCACACAAAAGAACAGGTGGGAAATATGAATGATAAACACCTGAAATAATCATTGCTTACAATTTAAAACTAATGTAAATAAGATTTAGTTTTTTTTAAATCCACACTGTATAATTAGATTCAGTATTGTGGTTATTAGATAAACTTTTAGTATTATTATTTTTCATTGCATTAAACCTCTTCAAATGTTATTGAAGTATATCTTCTAGTATAGTGTATTTTCTCTTTCATCTTTTTATCTTCAGTGTAAGTTCAGGTTTACATGTGTCCAGCGCTGTGTCTGTCAAGAGTGAGTGGTCAAAAAATGAACCATTGAACTTCAGTAAAGAGACACCATCAGCCACTGCAAGGTATTTCATATTTTTTGTTACAACATTGCATTTGTTAACCTATTCCAATATTTAGAAATAATTTTTCAAAGATACTTTTGATAGAAGTGAACTAAATGACTAAATTATAGTACAATAATTCACAAAGCACAATGTCTAATAGACAGTTTTACTCAATAACTCCTTGATTTTCAGCTTCTTTCCAGTAATAGTTACACTGGTCACTACTAGGAGGCACAGAATGACTATGGAAAATAGAACATGCATGCAATCTATCTTGAACATGTCTTTCCATCTAACTATATATATATATATATATATATATATAAATGTTTTTTTTTTTTTTTTTTTACAATTTCTAACACAAAACCTTTTTAAATGAGTTTAGATCATCTTGTAGTAAAGTGTTTATTTGATGTCTGTTCTTTTTAGTTTAAGATCAGGCTCACGTGTGTTCAGCTCCGTGTCTGTGAAGAGTGACCAGTCAAAAATTGAACCACTGAGCTTCAGTGTAGAAAAACTATCATCTACCAAAAGGTATTTTATTAAGAAAATCACAGATGTTTTCAGTTATTATAACTATACAAAACTATTTTGTAACATTGATATTTAAATTTATATATATTTTGTTTCATATACACACATATATTATATCTAAATATAAATATGCATTTTCTCAAATATATGCATGTCTGTGTATATTTATATACAGTTGCAAGACAAAGTATACATTATTGGTTTATTTGGATTTCTGCATAACTTGGACAGATAATCTGTTCTGATATTGATTTAAGTCAGAACAATAGAAAAACACTGTCTTTAATATCACACCAACATATGCTTTTATTATTATTTTTGAACACAACATGTGATAATTTATAGTGCAAGCTGGAAAAAGTATGTGAACTCTTTGGCTAATGATTTCTTCAAGAGTTAATTGGACCCAGGAGTCAGTCAACCTGGACTCCAATCATTAAGATGAGATTGAACGTGTTAGTTAAAACTAACCTGCCCTATAAAAAACACACACCAGTTTTGACTTTGCTGTTCTCAAGAAGCATTGCCTGGTGTGAACCATGCCTCACACAAATGATCTCTCAGAAAACCTACGATCAAGAATTGTTCACTTGCATGAATCTGAAAAGGGTTGCAAAAGACTCTCGAAAAACATTCATGTTAATTTGTCCACTTTTAGACAAAGTTTAGCACGGTTGTGATATGTTTTCATTATTTATTATACCTTTCACTTTCAAGTAAAAGTGAATCACCTGTTAATGTTGCAGACTTATTCATGGTGTGTTTTTGTTGAAGACCAAAATGAATACGATATTTAATTTATTTAAATGCAAACGTGATTGTTATCTTCACTTTAACTCTCCACTTTAGCAACTAATGCTTTTGTTTCTCTGTTAAAAATATTTGCAAGTAATACTTTCTCTATATTTATTAATATTTTGCCTTTAAATGTATTTTATTTTGACAGGCTTCAGTATGAGATTGAAAATCTAGATTCTCAGATATATGGAAACCAAAAGAAATGTATATCGATCTTCTGGGTAAAAGACACTTTTTTCATTAGTAGTTAATATTAATAAATTGGGTTATCTACAATAAAAGTGTAGTAAAATGTATTTTTGTTGTAAAAATTTATATCATGTAGATATTTGTTTATGACATATATGATCAGATACATATTACATACATTTTAAAAACCATGAAATTATAATTAAAAAGAGAAATATCTTATTTCTTTATGAAAGTAAAAGCTAATTAACATGTTTGATATTTTATTTGTTTATGAAATTAAATATAAATCATTTAATATATAATTTTAAGCAAATATAGGTGTTTTTTCCTTATCTTTTTTTCTCTGGTGTTGTAGAATCTTGAAATGAAAATACTTACATTTCTGAAGGAGGAGCTCAAACAGTTTAAGAAAATAGTGTGCAACGAAAATGCTCAATACCTTGTAAAGGACTTTAATAAGAACAGAAGTTGTAAAAAAGAAGCAGCTCTTAATCTCACACTCTGCTTCCTGAGAGAAATGAAGCAAGATGAAGCTGCCGATACTCTAGAAGGTGACCAACATCTCAACCAATATCTGTCAGATTTTTACTTAAAAATTATAGAAAAAAATTAAGCCTAAAATATTTTTTTGTTCCTGTTTAGATAAGCTGGTCTTGGTTCATCAATTAAAATGTGACCTAAAGAAGAAGTATCAGTGTGTGTTTGAAGGAATTGCACAGCAAGGAGACTCCACACTCCTGAAGAACATCTACACAGATCTCTATATCACTCAGGGTGCCAGTGAACAGGTCAATACTGAACATGAGGTCAGACAGATTGAAGTTGCTTCCAGACGTCATGAAGCTCAAGAGATACAGGTTGAATGCAGACGTTTGTTTGAAGCGTCTGAACAAGACAAGCAGATCAGAACTGTCCTGACAAAAGGAGTTGCTGGCATCGGGAAATCAGTCTCTGTGCAAAAATTTGTTCTGGATTGGGCCGAAGGAAAAGAAAATCAAGAGATCAGCTTCATATTTCCTCTTCCATTCAGAGAGATGAACTTAAAGGAGAAAGAAAAACTCAGTTTGATGGAGCTTATAACTCAGTTTTTCCCAGAGACAAAAGGACTGAACTTTACAAGAAGGAATCGATTCAAAGTCCTGTTTATCCTTGATGGATTGGATGAATGTCGTCTTCCTCTGAACTTTGCTGGTAATGAGATGTGTTGTGATGTTTTGTCACCAGCCTCTCTGGATGTTCTCCTGACGAACCTCATCAAGGGAAATCTGCTTCCTTCTGCTCTCATCTGGATCACCAGCAGACCAGCAGCTGCCAGTAAGATTCCTCCTGACTGTATCGACAGAGTGACAGAGATACGAGGATTCAATGATGCACAAAAGGAGGAGTACTTCAGAAAAAGACTCACAGATGAGAATCAGGCCAAAGAAATCATTGATCATGTTAAACAATCAAAGAGTCTCTTCATCATGTGCCACATCCCAGTCTTCTGCTGGATTTCAGCCACTGTTCTCCAGAACATTTTACAGGAGAAGAGAAATAATGATGTGAAAAACAATCAGGCTGATGACGCCTCCAAAACACTGCAGGAATCAAACACTGAAGACACTCCCAAGACTCTGACACAGATGTACACACACTTTCTGCGCTTTCAGATCCAGCAGAGCAGACGAAAGTATGATGGAGAAAACACACCAGATGTGTCCTGGGATAAAGACGCCATCCTTTCACTGGGGAAACTGGCATTTCATCAGCTGAAAAACAGCAATCTGATCTTCTATGAGACAGACCTGGAAGCCTGTGGTATTGACGTTCATAAGGCCTCAGTTTACTCAGGCATGTGTACCCAGATCTTTAAGCAGGAAACAGGGATTGTTCTTGGTACCATGTACTGCTTTGTTCACTTGAGTGTTCAAGAGTTTATTGCAGCCCTTTATGCACATCTGATTCTGGACATCAACAAGAAAAGTGTGTTTGATCAAGACTCTAAAAGCAGAAATGAGTCCATGATTGATTTGCTGAAGACTGCAGTGGACAAGGCACTTGAGAGTGACAATGGGCACCTGGACCTTTTCCTTCGCTTCCTTCTCGGCTTGTCTCTCCAGTCCAATCGGCAACTCTTACGAGGCCTGTTGACACAGCAAGACCACAATGACCAGAGCAAAGAGGAAATAGTTCAGTACATCAAGCAGAAGTTTGAAGCGAATCTTTCTCCAGAGAGATTCATCAATCTGTTCTACTGTCTGAATGAACTGAACGACCAAACTCTGGTGAAAGAGATTCAGTCTCACCTTAGCAAAGGAAGTCTCTCATCTGCTGATCTTTCACCTGCCCAGTGGTCTGCTTTGACCTTTGTGTTGTTGACATCAGAGGAGGAGATGGAGGAGTTTGAGCTTCAGAAATTCAAGAAATCAGATGAGTGTCTCATCAGACTATCAACAGTTGTCAAATCCTGCAGAAGAGCTCTGTAAGTCAGTTAAAACATACATATAATACATATGTATTGACATTATAAACTGCTGTAAACTGCAAAATTTTGTGTTGTTTTTATATTTTGTAGGTTAAATAATTGTAACTTAACAGACAGAAGCTGCTCAGCTTTTGCTACAGTCCTTGGATCAGATAACAATCTAAAAGAGCTGAACATGAGCAATAATAATCTGCAGGATTCAGGAGTAAAGCTGCTCTGCACTGGACTGAAGGATTGTAAACTGGAGAAACTCATGTGAGTTATTATTTAATGTTTTATAAAGTGTTTTGCCTTCATATTCAGTGATCAGTTACATTTTTTATTCCTGTTTTAGTCTTTCAGACTGCAGTATCAGTGGAGAAGGTTATAAAGCTCTGGCTTCAGCTCTGAGATCAAACCCTTCACACCTGATAGAGCTGGATCTCAGAGGAAATGATCCTGGACAATCGGGAGTGAAGGAGCTCACTGAGTTACTGCAGGATGCACTCTGTACACTGAAGACACTGAGGTGAGTGTATTTTTTTTTAAATAATGTATAATTAGATTATATAATACATATTAAAATGTCAATATATTGCCTCTGTTTCTAGGTTTTTAAGTCCTGTTGCTGATGAAGCCTGTCAGTTTGTGAAAGGAATTGTGGATATAAACCCGTTACTCCTGAAAGAACTGAATCTGAGTGATCATGAACTAGGAGACACACGAGTGAATCAACTCTCTGCTCTACTGCAGGATAAACACTGTAAACTCAACACACTCATGTGAGTACAATGTCTTTGAAATATAATGTTGATATGTTTATAGTAACTCAATCTAATTATCGCTGTCATTGTTTTAACAATATGATGATGATTTAAAAATTATCCGAAGAATAAGATTTTACTTTTTTCCCCCGCAGGCTGAATAATAACAGAATTACAGAGTTAGGTTGTGCTGCTTTGGCTTCAGCATTTAATTCAAACTCTTCACACATGAAGGAGCTGTATCTGAGTGGGAATAAACTGGGAAGCTCAGGAGTATTAAAGATCTGTCCTCTGCTAAAAAATCCACAGTGCAGATTGGAGAAACTGATGTGTGTATTTATTTATGTATTTTTTAAGTGTGAAGTTGTATTTATTATAGTATACATATACATATATATATATATATATATATATATATATATATATAAATGTATGTATATATATATATATACACATTTATATATATATACATTTATATATATATGAGCAATATCACACGAGTAGCAGTGTGATATGGCTGTATATCGGCACTGGTGGGAGGCGTGCGTTGGCACGAGGCCTTCGTGCCCCCACTAGTGCCGATATACAGCCATATCACACTGCTACTCGTGTGATATTGCGTTTATACAACAGTTTGACAGCATAATTGTGTATATAAAAACCAAATCAAACATGGACAGTCTCAAAAACCCTTTTGTAAGAGGAACTACTTTCTTCCGCGTTGGATTCAAATCATAAGCTGACTGTTAAACAGCTGAGCAAGCATCTTTTAAAGATTCTAATGACACTTTAGATCTAAGTGCCGAGTTACTTCATACCTCAATATGTTTAAGGTCGGTATTGAGCTCTTTTTCAGCCAACCACATCTTTAAACAGTTTACAGCCCACACAGTTTGCCGCACAGTGTTGTATTCATGCTGATTTTTTTTGTAAATAGTCCAAATCTGCTGATGTAACGGCTGCACTTCTTGCAGTTTGCTCCATTGATGTCGTCTTTTCATCTTCTTTTTCATCTGATGGGCTTTCATAGCTAATATCGAAGGATACATTTATGAAAAATGTTTAATTTGCCATGTCTGTTTTGCTAAACTGATTCGCTGGGTTTGAAGTTTGAAACTTTGTATCTTTTAAACAGCTTGCATGGAACTCATTGCAAGTGGAGTGATACAGTATACATGGGTAAAGAGGCTGTATGGATGCTGACATTACTTAAATATCTCACGGCTATCAGCCAAGCAGATTCGAGAACCAGATAGATCTGTTGTATATATATAAATTTATGTCAGTGTAGAACGTGCTATTTTATGATCTCATATGGAGAAATAATTAGTAGCTATGATTCTCTATAGTCTTTCAGACTGCAGTATTGGTGAAGAAGGTTATAAAGCTCTGGCTTCAGCTCTGAGATCAAACCCTTCACACCTGATAGAGCTGGATCTCAGAGGAAATGATCCTGGACAATCAGGAGTGAAGGAGCTCACTGACTTACTGCAGGATCCACACTGTACACTGAAGACACTGCGGTGAGATGTGAATTATTATAAAATCACAGTTTGTGAACATTGAAAAAGACCACCACTGCTAAGCAGGAGTTTTGTGTTTTCTGTTTGCAAAACTACCACCAGATAAAGGTATGGGATGTGAATGAAAATTACTCACCGGAATTAGTAACAATTGTAAATTAGGATCAAATAACAAAACAAAACTTTATGATTCTTTCATAAATTATTATTAACTTGATAAGATTTATTATAGTTTTTTTTATGTATTTGTTGTTAACTTGATAACTAGTGAAAAAATATCTTTAAAAATCAAAACAGGAGAAAAGGGAATTAATACACAGCTAAAATCTTAAATTAAGTACAAAAATGAATGAATAAAGCAATGTTTTAACCTAAGTGTGGAGAGACGTGTAAATTATTTGTTATTTTAAAGGGACATTAGGACTTACAGACAATATTTAACCTTTGTTTTTGTTTACATTTATCTTGTTCATAAAAAAAGTAATAGATGCATAGTTTTAGAAATATTAATTTCATTAGTATGCACAAAGGTTAATTAATAAAAACAAAACTTTTTTGCAAGGTTCTTTGTTATGCAACCTTACCGTATGGCCTCAGACTATAGGAGTTTTAAAATCCTAACCGATAATGAAATCTGTTTGCAGCACACACGTAAGGAGAATCTTCTGTGATTTTATTACCTGAAATCTTAAACGTGCACACACTACAAGATTTGAAAATCGTGGCACAACACACTCTACAAGATATTATAAAAATGATCATGCCCGATAGGCAGGGCCAGATGAAATCTGCCGACGTTTTTTGCTATTTCTGCAGAGAATTTTGGTAAAAATCTGTGGATTTCTGCTGAATTATTTTGGGAGTATCCAGCGGAGTATCATATTTAAAACCTTAATATATGAAATAAAAAGTAATGAAGTACTGAATAAAAACGGAATAAATTCAGATTTACACATTTACTCAAGTAAATAAACAGAATTAATGATGGGCTAAAAATCTGCAGAAATCTGTTGAAAATCTGGGGAATTCTGCGCGCACAGATTCCGTGTGGGCCTACCGATAGGGGACATCACCTGATAACAGAATATTTTGCTTTATCAATACTAATTATTAGCCTTATTATTAAAGTAATATTTGAGCAACTGCCACTATAGGCAAAACTCTCTCATTTTCCTTGTCGGCTTAGTCCCTTTATTAATCCGGGGTCGCCACAGCGGAATGAACCGTCAACTTATCAAGCAAGTTTTTACACAGCGGATGCCCTTTCAGCCGCAACACATCTACGGGAAAGGCAAAACTCTCTCAAACATTCAAAATATTAGGTCCTCATTTGTGTTTATGTTTTTGGGGGTTTAGAATGAACAAATATGCCATGTTCTATCCTAATAAAGGTAAAATTTCAAATATATATAAATTTTTTTTTTACAAATTGTGGCATTTACTGTTTAATAAAGACTTTAAGACCAAATGGAAATCTCTGCAGGCTGTTGCTCTGGCGTGAGAGTTTTGGTCAATGCAAACTATATTTCATGACTCCAACATACATTAGCACAAGAAAATGTGAAATGTAATCAATAAGAGAAGATGTTTTTTCCACTTTAGTTTTGTTAAATCGAGATTAAACTTATAATTAACTTTTAGCTTATTGGAACTCTTTCTTGAACACAAAGCCTTTAATAAAATGTTTCAAGACTGAAGGCAGTCCATGGTAAATCTTTAAGTTATGCTAAAGCAAAATTACTCCATAGCTGTAATCCATGAATTTTCAAATGTACTTTTTTTCAGGACAGACAGGAAAAAAACTGTTAAATACTGTATTATCTTCTCTTTACCAGGTTTTTGAGTCCTGTTGCCAATGAAGCCTGTCAGTTTGTGATTGAAGTTGTGGGTGAAAACCCATTACTCCTGAAAGAGCTGAATCTGGGTGATCGTGAACTAGGAGACACACGAGTGAATCAACTCTCTGCTCTACTGCAGGACAAACACTGTACTGTCAATTCACTTATGTGAGTATTGCACATTAGTTAACATGTTATTTTTTATTAGTTATGTTACTGGAGTTTTTCATTTTTTGTTGTTTAGGTCAAGTTATTCTTTCATAGTTTTACAAAGAGTCAAATGAAGGAATGCATAAAAGTTGCACATGCTATTAACTATACAATAATTATATCAGATACTGCAGAAGGAGAGGACAGGGGTTTTCTTCCAGGCCGTAAAAATTTTTTCCATGCTGAATGATTAAGTGAAGTTTTTAAACTAATTTCGAGAGGAGCACGTGATATAATTGACAGCAGCTGGCCACCTATCTACACTCATTAGTTAGCCAATCAGATCTATCCTAACCCACTATAAGTAGCCTAGCTAGACATTACTCCCTTATCTTCGTTTTCCGAAGAAACAAACGACAGGTCCGCTCTAGCTCCTCCAAAAGTTACTCACGGACAAAACGGATCCTCCACATCTCCTACTATTCTTCAACTACAATACCACACCACCTTTAATACCATCGTCAGCAACTACAAAAAATGACAAAAACAACAACAACAGCGACGGCGGCTGAGATCACAACAGCATCAGCGCAGCTACATACAAGAAAGAAAGCTCTGGGCTCCCTGAAACACCAGCCCCGTCTTAACAACAACCAGCCCAGCATGAAAGTCAGCTCGAGACCGAGGCTCCAACGAGAGGCCGTAGGCCTATCCACTCCAGCCAGATCACAAGGCAATCCCCAGCTC